CATGGCTCTCCCCTCGCCACGCACGGGTACAACTTGGCCGGTGGCTGAAACGACGGTGGCTGCCTTTGATGGCCTAACTTCATCCAGTAGATCCTCTCGGTTGGTCATGGTCATGAAGGCTCCCGTGTCGATGACCCAATGGGAGGAGCGGTGAAGAGCAATCTTGCTGGCCGGCACAACCATGTCCTCGGGGCACGCCTCCCCTACATGGTAGAACATGCCGCCGTATCCGCCAGCACCTCCATCGCCCTCCTCACTGCCCATGCCTTCTCCCATAGCTCCATGAGCACCCTTGGAGCCTTCAATTGATGGCTGACCAGGCCTCCAACCGTCAGGTAGCTTGCGGCACTTGAACCATGGGTGCCCTTCCCCATGGCAATACCAACACTTGCCGCCACACCGCTTGCCTCCCTTGTTGCCACGCTTCCCTCCCGAATGCTGCTCCCCTCCAGAGCCTTCCTTGGCCTTGCCTTTCTTGTTGCCACGCCCCTTGAAGCCCTTCATTCCGTAGGCTGAACCTCCGCCTTCACCGGCAGCGGCGGTCAGCTCCTTCCTCCGAAACTCCTCTTGAAGAACTTGCGCGCGAATCCACTCAAGGGACCACGAGTCCTTCATGCCATTAAGGTTGACCACCAAGGGCCCCCACGACTCCGGCAGCAGGGAGAGAGCCTTGTAGCACTTGATTTTCTCAGGGTAGTCCACACCAGCAGCAGAGAGCTTCACATAGAGGTCCCTGAGTTGATCGAACGCTCCTTGTACGGCATCACCCTCGTTGATCTTCACCGCATGGAGTTGTCGCTCGAGCACCACCACCATAGCTTCGCTGCTGGGGGCATGGACATCCTTCAATATCTTCCATGCCTTAGGACCACACTCAACTTCCTTGATGAGATGCTTGATGTGGTGCAGCTGGTTGGATGAGAGGCATTGGGAGAGAAGGAAGAATCCATCCTTGGACCGGCGATCCCATTCCTTGGTCGCTCCTTCGCTCGCAGGCCTCTTCAATTCTCCATCCATCACTTCAAGCAGCCCATAATGGTTGAAGAGAAGCTCCATCCTGAAGCTCCATGATGCCCAATCCTCCCCAGAGAACTTCTCTAGGTTGAATGCCTTCACATCATCCTTAGCTGATGTTGAAACGGAAGCCATTGGTGCAGATCCGCCTGCAACGCCTCTTCCCGCTTCCCCAGCGCCTCTCACGCCACCACTGCCACTGGGACCAGCTGGAGCAGAACCTTCAGCCTCCATATTCACCCACGAACAGAGTAAAACAGCTCTGATACCACTTGTTGTAGTCAAGAGTCCACTTAGAGGTCGCGGATGCCCATGAAACCGCCTAAGTAGAATCTGACGTCTTCAAACCGCCTCTGTTCAAAACGCCGTCACGATCAGCTCCGAAAACACACGAGGCTGAAACTTGAACAGCGGTTAGCCTTAGGTGTCTGCTTTCCAACGGTATATTATTTGCTATTATCAGAGGTGTGTGCACTACGCAGTGAACGAAAACGTAAGCTCGGCTGAAAAACGTGTAGTTTCATTGATGCAAGGAAGAGGTTAGTACAACATGTCCTAGGGAACTCTTAAGGGGTTGGGATCATCCTGGGAACTCAGAGAAGGTTGAGTCCTAGGGGAGAAAGGCCAGAGAAGGATGGGAAACGTCCTAGCTAGGTCAGCAAAGCCAACCACACATGGATGTTCAGAGCTGTACTCAAGGCAACCAATTGTGAGTCAAGCCAACCATGAGTCAGCTTGTCTTCCCACTTGCACCCTCTTGCAAGCTGCTTCCAGGAAGACCATACTTCTCAAATGGAGGGTGGTAGAGTCCCACTTGACCACCTGTACTTCTTGTCTCATTCTCTGTCCCTGCACCATTGGCATGACAACAATGAAAGGGTGGCAAGGGAAATGCTGCCAACAGTGCACCATGACTACGGAACAGTGAATTTCGGCAGCTGTCACGCAATGCTCAGATGTTGGATCGTTCTGAAACTTGGTGACCACCTGCACAGCGGGGCAAAGGACTGCCAGACCGAATTTCAGACCAATCAGAGCTCCGTAGACGAGTCAGCAGCCGAAATGGTGAACTCGGGTGTTACCAAAAAGGAGTAACACACACTTCTGGGATGCCATAAGTCTTGAAACATAAAATGTTGTCATGCCTTGGTAACTGCTTCAAAAACTCTGAAACTTTGAGGGTTTGAAAACCACATGTTGAACAAACTCCCCACAAAATTCCAGAAGCTGAGCAGGCTTGTAGGCCGAATGGGAGTGCGATGACCGTGCCAATGTAATGTGTTGGCACAACACCCGCCTCGTCATACCCTAGATGCCCTTGGCAAACGTGTCAGGGCAGAAGGCCTCGCGCGAAAAGGAAGCCTTCGCAGGGCGATCCTCGCCCTCGAGTCAATGCCGGTCGCCGACCCATATGCAACCACCCTCACCGCTCTCAAAGCAAAACACCCCCCCGCGCCATCTGGAATCATCGATTGGAACATTCCCGATACTATTCAAGCGGCATCGATCGAAAGAGGGGACTTCATAAAAATGTTGTGCCGCTGCGAGAACGGGGTGGGAGGGGGACCGTCTGCTCACTACTAACAGCCAGCCGTCTCATAGCTCTAGCCAAGCCAGACGGAGGCACTAGACCGATAGCAGTAGGAGAGTGCATCTTGCGACTAGCCGCCAAGTCCGCCCTCTCGGCCCTCTCAAAAGAGTGCCGTGCGCATTTCCTCCCGTTACAATACTGCGTGTCCGTCCAAGGCGGTAGCGAAGCGATAATCCACGCTGCGAGAGCATTTACGTGCGCAAACCCAGACGCGCTTATACTGCAGGCGGACCTGGCGAACGCATTTAACTCCATTAGCCGCGGAGCAGTATTCGGTGCACTTCGCGACACCGACCTCCAGGGTCTCCTCCCCCTCGTCAAAGCATCATATAGCCGGCCAGCCCAGTTGTTCCTGGACGCGGGTTTCGGTTGCGAGGCACTGACTAGCGAGACAGGCGTGCGACAAGGTGATCTGCCCGGCCCGCTGCTGTTTGTTGTGGGGATCCACCCCATCCTCTCAAAGACAGCAGCAGCTTACCCATCGGTCCTCTGCTTAGCATTCGCCGACGACATCACTTTCCTGGGCCTTGCAGCTGAGTGTTCCGAAGCTTTCCGCCACTTCACGATGGGACAGCGCGACGTAGGGCTGACCCACAACCCTGAGAAGTGCGTCGCATGGAGCGCTGCATCCACAGATCCCCAGCAGCTGCCCCATGGTGTCCCACTACGCGCAGAAGGGCTGAGGGTGCTGGGAAGCTTCATCGGTTCGACGGAAGGAGCAGCAGCCTTTCTATGGTCACAGCTAGAGACAATGTCGTCCCCACTACCCCACATTGCGAGCATGGACCCACAAGTGGCTGCGCTGCTACTAACACGGTGCATCTCCAGGCGCATCTCTTACCTTGCCCGCACCACACCTCTGTACCTGCTACCCGAAGCTGAGTGGTCTAGGTGGGGCCGGGCTCTGCTGTACACGCTTCTAGATGCTTGCGGGGTGCGCCACCCGAGGGGCGAGACAGAGGACAGACGGATCTGGGACCAAGCCTCACTTTCGCCTAGCTTAGGCGGCCTGCGCCTCGCCGTCCCTGCGGTAGAAGGCAGATACAGTTTCCTGGCGAGTATCGTGCAGTCCCACACACTCCTCGGCTAGCTCGGAGGCCAAGCAGGGGCCACTCTGACAGCAGCACTAGACATACCCGAAGCAGCAGACCACAGCCCCAACGAACTACAGCAGTGGATCCAGAACTGCAGGAGCAGCCTCACGCAGGAGGCGAGGGACCTTATCTCAGCGAAGCGGCAAAACCAAAGGGCCAACTGCAGCACCGCCTCTCTCTCTTAGTCCAAGGGGGCCGGAGTGCCGCCCAGATTACCGCATCCAGGCAGATGGAGCTGAACCCACTGCTAGGCCACACCCAACGCCTTATGTCCCTCACAGGCTATGGGGCAGGGGACTGGCTCATGGCGATCCCCTACATGCCAGCCCTACGGTTATACCACTGCCACTTCACGTTCGCACTACAGTTCTGCCTCGGCCTGCCGCTCTCTGTGCCTGACTGCTGTGACTGCAGCAAACGAGTCTCCATACTGGATAAGAGGCTGCCGAATCACTTTCTTTGATGCGGTACCGGGCACGGCCGGACCAACACTCACGACGAGGTCCGTGACGAGTGCATCCGCATGGCACAGGATGCAGAATTTGTTGTGCACAAGGAGTGCACTGCCTTTAGCCCGGTGGACAGGAAGAAGGTCAACTTGGCCTTCAGGGATGGGAGCTCAGGGGCGGTGTGGCTGGCGGACATCACAATAACAGATCCCATCAGTAAGCGGGATGAGACTGCAAGGAAGGGGAGGGGTTGGGCAGCACGGGAAGCAGCAGATAAGAAGATAGGCCTCTATCACGGCAGGGCTGAGTTTGCTGGGTTTGTCCCCTTGGCGGTAGAAACCTACGGCTGCCCATGCGACGAGGTGCCCACCTTCCTGAAGCTGCTCGCGGACAAAGCTGCACGGAGAATCTTCAATGCGGACCCATCTACCTATCAGGCCGCGAAGATGCTCCATCAGTTCCGCCAGCGCTGGTCGGTTGCGCTCCAGAGAGCTCATGCAGTGAGCTTTCTCACAAAGCTCAACCTGGCAGCACGAGCAGAGAACCCCCCACTGGGGGGACCAGAGGGGGAGATGAACCCGGGGGATTGCTTCTCAACGCTAGAGGCACCATAGAGGGAAAAGGGTGGGGGGGGGGGGGGGGAGGGGAGGGTAGAGGTGTGTGTGAGAGAGAGGAGAGAGATGGCATGGCTCCCTTCCACTCCTCATTATTCAGGTTTTGGTTCAGTTCTTCTCCCAACATGAGGGGACGGCAAGCACGTCACAGGCAACACCAACTTATAACACCATTGTATACACACATGGCAGGTGCTCCCATCTACTAGCGACACCATGGGGCAAGCACGAGCGGATCCTACATCTGATCTGCGTCAAGGACGGCGAGAAGACCCGTCAGAGAGCGATCAAGCTCGCGCACCACCATAGTGGTTGCGCCGATCAAGTCGACTGCAGTCCCTGCGCGCAAAAACCGGCGCAGACCACGGACTGCCGTCCCAAGCTGTCCAACTCCACCCCGCGCGGGCGCAGCCAACACGGGCGCCAGGAGCTCGCCCAGCCGATCAGCGGCATCTAGGCACTCGTCCTGATGGCCACCGTCCAGAGGAACACCCTGGGCAAGAGCCGCGTGACCATACACCTGAATCAGATGAACAGCCCGCAGACCCTCAGAGAGGTGCCACAGCTGCCCCAAAGACGCCTCTGGCACCACAGTAGAAGGAGAGGGCCCCACCAGCGACTGTGGAGGTAGCGCAGCAGCCGGAGGAGCAGGAGCGACGGGCAGCAGAGATGGATACTGACCCGTCACGGGTCCCCCTGCCGCAGTCACGAAATCCATACCCGCCATAGGAGGAACCCACGGCAGACGCATACGGTTCCCAAGGGCGGCAGCAGAGGCAGAGTGAGCATGAGGAGGAGGAACGGCTGACTGGGGAGGAGGAGGTTCAAGCGCGAAGGGCGCAGCCGGAGGAAGGGACGCCTGCGGTGGAGCGACGCGTGGCGAGTTGCTCTGGCTCGCCTGCCCGTTTCGTTCCTCGCGCACCGCAGCAGATACAACGCGCTGCAAATCGGCCATCGTCACCGGCTGATCATACACCTAACCGCCACCATGCCCATGCCCCCCCCACCAGCCACCACGACCGCCACGGGAAGCAGCCCTGTTCGCCCAGGAACCGTGACGCCGAGGAGAATCGTGTCGCCGCCTCGACGTCTCTCGCTCGTCACGAGGCGCAGGGGAGTGTGGCCGATGCTGCCGCCGGCCCGGGGACGGCTGACGCGGAGCAGGAGGAGCAGCAACAAGTGGCGCAGGAGCAGGAACCCCCTGGACAGCCGGAGGCGGCACTGGTGAGGCCGCAGTCGGAGAGGCGGGAGCGAGCGGAGGCGCCAATGGCGGCGACTGACCCCCTGCCGGGCTCAGGCCGGCGCTGGTGGCTGGAGGTGGCAGGTATGACAGGTCTGCAGCAGCAGCAGAAGGCGCCCCGGCGGGGGCAGGCAGGGGCGGCACGACGGCCGCCCCAACAGAAGCGGACGACGCCGCGACAACAGGCACGGTCACAGACACCCCCACGGGGACAAGTGGAACCTCCGGCGCAGGCGCAGGGGGTGTCGCGGGAGCAGGCGCAGGAGCAGGCGTCGCAGTGGGTGCAGGAGCATTTGCAGGAGCAGACGCTGCTGCACGAGCAGGAGCAGACGCCGCAACAAGCACGAGATTCGACGCCGCGGCAGGCGCAGGAGCAGACTCCACTGCGTGCACAAGCGACGATGACTCCACAGCAGGAGGAGGCGCCACCTCAGGCGCAGGGGCCAGGCCAGCCGGAGGAGCAGGCGACGGGGCGAGAAGCGGTGACATCTCCGCAGCCGCCCCCGCAGGGGCCGATACAGCAGACGCCGCAACAAAGGGCAGTGGCGGATAATGCATCTCGTCGCCTAGCGCCACAGGCATCGCAGGCCGGACGAGGCGGAGGTCGCAGAGGCGCGGCGGGACGGGGAGGAGGTCCTGAGAACGGTTTCCGGAGAGCGGCAGGGCGGGCTTTAAGACATACTAATGACGAGGAGGCGAGAGATCCTACATATATAGCACCGGTAGCAGCAGAATCAACAACGGAGAAATCGGGAGGGGTTGACGAGGAAGCAGATGAACACCGCTGAGTGAACCCAACACCAAGCCGGGCCGCATGCAAGGAACCCACAGTTGGGGGGGAGAAGAACCCACTGGCACCAGAAACAACCGCGCCGCCCCCACAAACCCGCCAATTCTCGCTAGAACAACTAACAAAGGACGACGCGCGGTTTGACGAAATTGAAATGTGGGATTTGACTCCCCTACGCGACAGTCGTCAGCCTCCACTGTCGCGAAAACTCCCCGCTGACATTCGCCCCCTTTTCGCATCGGCCCTCCTGACACCACTGCTCCGCCTCGCGCGTTACCCTGACTTAGTCGCGGGATGGCGACTGTTAATTTTTATCCTGCGTCTAACTCTTCGCCTGCCCTCAACGGAATAGCCCGATTGGCCAGCAGTGAAGCAGCGACTGCGCCAATTTCTCAGAGGCGATTGGACGCAACTCTACAAGGTTGCAGTAGCCACGATAAATGGGCCACAACCGCCACGTCACACACCTGACAACCAGGGCAAATGCGCCAGAGCTGAGGGCCTCACACGCAAGGGAAGTTTAAGAAGAGCGATACTCGCCCTGGAGTCAACACTGGTCGCCGACCCATCTGCTGACACTCTGGCAGCTCTCAAAGCAAAGCACCCCCAAGCGCCACCTGGACTCATCGATTGGAACGTCCCCGATACAGTGCAGCCGGCCTCCATCGACGGTGGCGCATTCGTAAAAAAATTATGCCGATGTGAAAATGGAGTGGGGGGCGGACCTTCTGGAATGACCTTCGAGCACCTGAGAGACGCGGCCATCGCAAATAGTGGGGTTACCACACACCTGCACGCCCTCGTCAACACAATCCTAAGGGGCAACCTACCAGACGAGATCTGCTCGCTCCTTACCGCCTCGCGCCTCATAGCCCTAGCTAAGCCTGGCGGAGGCACTCGCCCCATCGCGGTTGGCGAGTGCATCCTCCGCATCGCCGCTAAATCACCTCTCTCATCGTTATCGGAAGAATGCCGGGCCCACTTCCTCCCTCTGCAGTATTGTGTATCGGTCCAGGGCGGCAGTGAGGCAATTATTCATGCGGCGAGAGCATTTACAAACGCGAATCCAGAGGCGCTGATCTTACAGGCGGACCTAGCTAATGCCTTCAACTCCATTAGCCGTGCAGCAATTGTAGACGCACTACGTGGCTTGGCGCTGCAAGGCATTATACCACTCACCAGGATATCATACGGCAAACCAGCCCAGCTTTTTCTAGACGCTGGTTTTGAATGCAAGTCACTGATCAGCGAGACAGGCGTGCGTCAGGGGGACCCGCTCGGCCCACTACTCTTCACCGCCGGGATTCGTCCCGCTCTCACCAAAACCGCAGCGGCTTTCCCCTCCGTGCTATCCCTGGCATTCGCCGACGATGTTACATTCCTGGGCGAACCATCAGACTGCTCGAAGGCCTTCTGCCACTTCACAGAGGGCCTGCGCGAAGTGGGGTTGCGCCACAACCCAGAGAAGTGCGCGGCGTGGAGCGCAGCGGAGGTCGATCCCTCAGTGCTGCCGCAAGGAGTCCCGTTCTGTGAGGGGGGCCTGCGAGTGTTGGGGAGTTTCATCGGCTCGCGGGAAGGTGCAGTAGCCTATCTACGCTCACAACTTGAGTCAATGTCTACCCCACTACCGCACCTCTCAAAAATGGACCCCCAAGTAACCTCTCTGCTATTGACACAGTGCATTTCCAGGCGCATCTCCTACCTCGCCCACACCACCCCTCTCTACCTGCTGCCTGAAGCTGAATGGACAAGGTGGGGCCGGGCTCTGCTACACACCCTTCTCAACGCACGTGGGGTGCGCCACCCAAGGGGAGAGGCGGAGGCCGGGCGGATATGGGACCAGGCGTCACTCCCGCCAAGCCTGGGTGGGCTAGGCCTCGCTTGTGAGGATCTGGTTCAGGAAAGATAATTCTATTGAATGATTCACCTGGGTACAAGGCGAGGCTATATATAGGCTCGCTGTTGGTGCAACCCTACGGTTTGCACTCGGCTTGTTGTCCGTGTGCGTGCATGCGTGTGTGCATGGAATGAAATGAGTGCGTGAAATAAATATATATATTTCATGCTTATAATCGTGTGTGTATAATGGGTCATGATGTCGAGTGTGTGTGTGTCGAGTCGATAGCGAATTATCGCTAGTCGCGTGTAACGTGGTCATTTTGTGTGTCCCGCGCGGTTTCTATTTTGTCGTGCGCGGTTTCTATTTTGTCGCCTGTCGAACGTTCGGCGTGTCGCAGGTGTGTGCAGCAGACCCATCAAGAACTCAAGGATGAGTTTGTGATGAAGAACCCGAGCCCTGGTGTCAACATTCAAGTGATCGCGAAGCTCGCCAAAAGGGTACACCTCAAGATATTGAAGATAGTTAGATTACTTTGTGTAGTGTAACATTTCACTTGGTGTAGGCCCTAGTGAAGGGTAGTTTCGAGACCCTTCGTGGTTGGGGGCAGTGTGGCACTGTTCTACATCACTGTACCTCGGCTCTTGGGGTTTGTAGGAGCTGGGAGTCATTCCCAACTCGTAACCCTTGCTAACTCTTCCTAAGTTGTGTTCTAAGACTATGTTGCTGCCATAGTGCCGTTCGTTCAAACCGACGCTGTGTCGTCAATTCTTGATGAAATCGTGCGATCTAAATTGCCTAGTGTAGGCAACGTTAAGGCACTCCAGATCCAAGTTGAATGAAGTCATTTAGAGTTGTGAGCAGATCGCTATGAGCGTTTAAATCCGCTGTGCAGAAATCCGACTGTGCACTCTATCTTTCGTTTTAGGCCCACTGAAGCCTACTGTGACTATAACAAGTGGTATCAGAGCCCCTTGGAGCAGTTTCGACAATGGCTGGACCCGAGGAAAGGGGTGGCAGAGGTGCTGGTGGCAATGGAGAAGCCCAATCTCAAGGCCAACCCCGTGACTCAGCCATGGCGCCCGTGCAACCAAGTGTTGGCCCATCTAGGGATGAGCCTAGAGTGTTTGGCCTTGACAAGTTCAACGGTGACAACTTTGCTGAATGGTCCTTCAGAATGGAGAATGTGTTTGATCACTATGACCTGCTGGAGGTGATGGAAGGAACGGAGAAGCGTCCCAAGAACGACCCGGAGAAGAGCCCGTGGGTGCGGAAGAGCGCACAAGGCTATCTCCTACTTGGGCAAGCGTTGGGGAGCAACCAGATCCGTCACATCAAGCCTTTCCAGCGTGAACCAGAGAAGGGACCAAAGTCATGGGCTGCTCTCAAGGGTGTACACGCTCCTGCAACAGCGGCGGTAGCTGTGGTGTTGGAACGGCAAATGGCGACGCTACGAATTGAGGAAGATGAACCCGTGGAAGACGGGGTGCAGAAATTCTTCGACTTGTTGACGCGGCTTGAGGGAGCGGATCTCAACTACAGTGAGCTCCAAAAGAAGACCAAGTTGCTGGCCCTACTCCCCGAATCATGGTCCTCGCTCATCATCAACTTGAACCGTGACCTGCCCCGTCTCTCGCTTGAAGACCTGAAGCGCGCGATCCTACAAGAGGACTTCTGCCGCCGCGAGTTGGCGAGTGCGGATGGCGCTGGGGCAGCGAGCGTCGGCCATGGATATGGCCGAGGAAGAGGCAGAGGACGAGGGGGAGGAAGGTTTGGTGGCAGCAACTTCGGCGGAGGCCGCGGGAGTGGCGGTTACGGCAGCGACGACAAGAGCTACGGACGCGGTCGCGGCCGATTCAATGGCGAGTGCCATTACTGTCATAAGACCGGACACATGTGGCGCGATTGCTACAAGCTCCCTGATGGTTGGACCCCTGCTCAAGACCAAGAGGAAAGAGGAGCAGGTGGAGGGAGAGGAAGAGGCTGTGGAGGCCGTGGCGATCGCGGTGGCGGAGCTGCAAACATGAAGAGCGAAGATAACGACAAGGACCCGAGCGGCGATCGGTACCCGGGCCTATTCTACTTCGTGTCGACGCAAGTACCGGCTGGTCCAGAGGAGGACGAAGGCTTTGAGGAGCCAGAAGCAGTAGGGAAGGTGACCCTACACCCCCTGGACTATTGGGTGATCGATAGCGGCGCTACCTGTAGCATGACACCTCGCCCGGACTTGCTCACCGAACTTGAACCGTCACCGGTGAAGCATGTCACATCGGCTTTGGGGCAGCGAGCGGAGGTGAAAGGCATGGGCAAGGCCATGTTCAAGGGTGCTGATGGGAAGATGGTGGGCCTCAAGAACGTGCTTTTGGTGCCCAGCCTTGCTGCAAACCTGATTTCCGTGCGGCAGTTGGCAAAGGCCGGCATGGACACGAACTCGAAGGGAGCCAAGACCTACACCGCAAGGCTTGGCGATCGGATTCTTTGGGACCTTCATGAGGACAGGGATGTCTACAATAAGATGTGGCAGATCCCTGTGGTCCCTATGCCTAAGAAGAGGCAAATGGCAGCAAGCGTCAGCACCAAGGGTGAAGCGGTTGGTAGTAGTGATGGCGCGAACGGTCGCGCTAAGGAGAATGAGTCCAAGAAGAGCAATCTCGGAGGGACCAGCAAGCTCGGTGATCATAACAAGTGTGGTGCAGCAGCCAAGGAGCAGCACAAGGGTGAGGAGAACCCCGAGGCAGCAGCGGAGGAGGAGTACGGAGAGAGCATGTGGGGCGCTATTGCGAGCGCGGCATTCTCCAATCCGACTTCGGCTATGGGGGAGTGTGATTGGTTGACTTTGCATCGGCGCATGGGGCATGTGGCCCTGCCCATCCTGCAGCAGCTAGTAAAGAACCAGATGGTTGCTGGCATACGTGTGAAGGGGGAGCCCGATGAGGTGCTTGGCTGCCCGACGTG